AAAAATTTGGGCAAATGTTTAAATTCACAAAAACGAGTCATATTCATTGGTCATATTATCCATTTGTATGTGTTCAACTACGAATGAAATGAAATAATGTGCTTGTATACCGCCCATATGGTTAGTAACTGACACAAGTGTCAGGTACTAACCACGTCAGAGCGGTTCTAAAGGGTGAGGTGAAAATATCCAGCAACAAACAACTAAATCATGATCTCAAAAACAAATCTATTCAGAAAAAATTAAAACTTTAATTATATCATAATATAGTAATCATAGGAAGATTTATTGATATATACCACACAACGATTAACAATAAACCACCAGAAACTCAGAAAACACTTCAAAAGTATCATTATATAGGAATCAAAGGAAGGTTTAATATTTAAACGAACTACGAAATAAATTATATATGATCTGAACACAATTACTTTAATTCAAATCATTTAGTTGGAGCAATAAGCAAGCCAATTTAAATATGCATATTCTCAAACATCAAATCCGTAATTAATATAATCATTAAGCTACTCTGTAACGTTAGTTTTGCAACTGGTACACTGGTACACTGGTACCCAGGTCAGGGTTTATATCTGAGAACGGTCGAAATCTAGTTGCGACTATTGTTCAAGAAGCTTGAAAAGAACGCCGCGCACAGGGATTGGCCAATTACCGGATAATATTTGAATAAATTGTTAAATCTGTATTTTTTAATTGATAAAAGTTTTTCTGAAATTATTTAATCAAGTGAATACAAATTAGAATTTTATTCAAAAAGTACCTCAAGACATGCGCATAAAACGAAAATCAGATCTTCAAAACGGTTAACAAATTAGACCAGTAGCAAAATACAAACATTTCATGCAAACATTTTTTTGCGAAAGAATCTTATCATATTAGAACATAAACTGTCACAATGTCCTAAAACATTTTAGACCATACTATGAACACAATCAAAGCAAACAAGCCCAGAAGTATTATCTTCTGTATAGGAACTATTCCATCTTTGAGGTGGGGAACCAGTGCTGCAACTTGTCGCTCTGAAAGATAACACATTAATTTTCAGTACGTTTTACCTAACAATATCATTTTTTAGCTAGCAGAATGGTTTTCAGAGGGCATTAATGAAATGTACTATGAGCTGGTCCCAAGTCCAGACGCCATTTTATTCTTTGTAATTTTCAATAACCCTGTCTAGTTATTGACTACTGATTACGATAAGTTGCTGTGCGGGGTGAAGGACAGGATCTACATTTCGGTAGGATAGACGACACATTTATTAAACTTAAAGGTATACAAATATTTTGGTCTCATCATAATCATATGTCACTATTTGTCACTATAATAGATTCGTCATGGATAAATAGCCAACATCAAAGATCACCCAAATTCACGAAAATCTCATCACACAAAATAATCTTACCAGTTTCAGAGAAAATTCCGGTATTATCAATAATCTTACCGGTTTCAGAGAAAAGTCCGGTATTATCAATAATCTTACCAGTTTCGGAGAAAAGTCCGGTATTATCAATAATCTTACCAGTTTCAGAGAAAAGTCCGGTATTATCAATAATCTTACCAGTTTCAGAGAAAAGTCCGGTATTATCAATAATCTTACCAGTTTCAGAGAAAAGTCCGGTATTATCAATAATCTTACCAGTTTCAGAGAAAAGTCCGGTATTATCAATAATCTTACCAGTTTCGGAGAAAAGTCCGGTATTATCAATAATCTCACCAGTCTCAGAGAAAAGTCCGGTATTATCAATAATCTTACCAGTTCCGGAGAAAAGTCCGGTATTATCAATAATCTTACCAGTTTCAGAGAAAAGTCCGGTATTATCAATAATCTTACCAGTTTCAGAGAAAAGTCCGGTATTATCAATAATCTTACCAGTTTCAAAGAAAAGTCCGGTATTATCAATAATCTTACCAGTTCCGGAGAAAAGTCCGGTATTATCAATAATCTTACCAGTTTCAGAGAAAAGTCCGGTATTATCAATAATCTTACCAGTTTCAGAGAAAAGTCCGGTATTATCAATAATCTTACCAGTTTCGGAGAAAAGTCCGGTATTATCAATAATCTCACCAGTCTCAGAGAAAAGTCCGGTATTATCAATAATCTTACCAGTTCCGGAGAAAAGTCCGGTATTATCAATAATCTTACCAGTTTCAGAGAAAAGTCCGGTATTATCAATAATCTTACTAGTTTCAGAGAAAAGTCCGGTATTATCAATAATCTTACCAGTTTCGGAGAAAAGTCCGGTATTATCAATAATCTTACCAGTTTCAGAGAAAAGTCCGGTATTATCAATAATCTTACCAGTTTCAGAGAAAAGTCCGGTATTATCAATAATCTTACCAGTTTCAGAGAAAAGTCCGGTATTATCAATAATCTTACCAGTTTCGGAGAAAAGTCCGGTATTATCAATAATCTTACCAGTTTCAGAGAAAAGTCCGGTATTATCAATAATCTTACCAGTTTCAGAGAAAAGTCCGGTATTATCAATAATCTTACCAGTTTCAGAGAAAAGTCCGGTATTATCAATAATCTTACCAGTTTCAGAGAAAAGTCCGGTATTATCAATAATCTTACCAGTTTCGGAGAAAAGTCCGGTATTATCAATAATCTTACCAGTTTCAGAGAAAAGTCCGGTATTATCAATAATCTTACCAGTTTCAGAGAAAAGTCCGGTATTATCAATAATCTTACCAGTTTCAGAGAAAAGTCCGGTATTATCAATAATCTTACCAGTTTCAGAGAAAAGTCCGGTATTATCAATAATCTTACCAGTTCCGGAGAAAAGTCCGGTATTATCAATAATCTTACCAGTTTCAGAGAAAAGTCCGGTATTATCAATAATCTTACCTGTTTCAGAGAAAAGTCCGGTATTATCAATAATCTTACCAGTTCCGGAGAAAAGTCCGGTATTATCAATAATCTTACCAGTTTCAGAAAAAAGTCCGGTATTATCAATAATCTTACCAGTTTCAAAGAAAAGTCCGGTATTATCAATAATCTTACCAGTTTCAGAGAAAAGTCCGGTATTATCAATCACGTGATCGCCCCTCTTTCTCTTCTCCTCAATACAAAGCTGAGAGTCTACTCTAGCCTGAGCCTCCTCTTCGGTAAAGTGATCATTCCGGTCCATCAGCCTTACCTTTTGCTGTTCGGCTGTGCTGAATATTATTTACTCGATTTAACGATAAGAAGTTTTAAAAATGCGTTGGGGGAGGTATCGACTATCGTATCATTTTGGTTTTGGGACGTGTCCTATAACCGTTTATATTGTATGAATCAATCTCTACCATTCTTACCAGTTGAGGTGTTAATCATAATAATTATATCCCTGGCAGAAAGAAGAAACTCACCAGTAAACAACAACAATGGAGTGAAGGAAGGGATTAATGTTGCAACTCTCGTACAGAAGAGGTATGTCTACAGCAACTATCGTCGTTCCTGGGGATCGGATAACATTAGTAACATTTAACTGTTACAAAACTTCTCCCAGTAAGTAAAAAACATATTAAGTTTTTGCATAACCCAACAAATGTTCATTTAACGGTGTCCTTCCCGCAGGTTCAGATACTTTAATGGCCTTCAAATCAGCATGAAAAAAATAACAACTTGGACAAGGAATAATAATTTGAGTGCCCAAAATTTGGACCCCCAAGACGTGCTGTCAAAAACGCGAATTAAATAGGTAATACTTATTTTAGTCTCTTGAGTCTTGACACCACTTCAAGGTTAGACCTGCTAGTAAATATAAACTGAGCCCAACTGAGCCTACCTTTGATAAAGTGCCAGATGATGTGACGTCTAATGACCTTAGCAATCTCAGGATGGATACATTTGTTGAGAGCATCTCTGTTTTCTGCATCATTAAACACCAAATCACCTGAAAAAGGTGATACCTGGTTACCTGGTTACCTGGTTACCTGGTTACCTGGTTACCTGGTTACCTGGTTACCTGGTTACCTGGTTTCTGCATCATTAAACACCAAATCACCTGAAAACAGCGATAGATCAAAATGCTGGCAAGCAACCCCGCGTATTTTATTTATTTCATTTACAGACTCATCAGAAGTCGTTCAGAAGGCTCAATTTTAGCTCAAAATATTATAATTTGACGTTTAAGATTACAGCAAAATAATAGTAATACTCGAGTTAAAAGTATTTTGAATTTTGCGCTAATTATTTATCATAACTAATTATGTATCATAACTAATTGTGTATTATAACGAATTAGTAATTATGTATTACACAATTACATTACTCTCCTACTCATATCAAATGTAAACTCAATACCACTTGAAAAATAAATTTACATGCGCGAAAATGGTTTCATAGTGGCAATGCAATGCTCACAATTGAATTCAAGATAATCTGAGTCTAGAGCTATATCGGTCATTGGAGCTGGCCCTTTCTAGACAGGAGCCCTAATACTTAATAGTAAGTGTAACCAGTTAATTGTACGTACATATAAGACTTATCTACTGTCAATCAAGTTAACTTTAGCTATTTTAATAGATTGGGTAGTGGTGGGGAGGTGACTCACCTCCCCCAACTTCCCCACCTTCCTGACCTCCCTGAACTCCCTCACCTTACCCACCTCTGAGGTGAGCCCTATTTGTTTTGACGTGAAGATTGTGTGATTTACTTGGTTGCAGCAGGATACTGATTGGAAAAGCGCAGCTGTGACGTGTCTGACAAAAATATAGCTCTCCTCTCAAAACCTTAACCAATTGTGTTAAGGCACGATTTACATAATCTTATGACGTAATTCGATATTGCAGTCCCACAAATTGGCCCAATAATATTAATACAAAATACCATATTTTAATAAGCAATGTTTCGTGTTAATTCTTATCGCAAATTTTCAATTATTAAATTAATGGACAAGCAATTAATGTACTGATTATCAAATTAGAAAAAAATAGGATTAATATAAGGATTGGGAACTTTAATTACATTGAATTTTAAGTTTGGTGGAAGTTTCTGCTCTCATTAAAAAAATAATTGCAGATAAATGGAGGGAAAGCGCGATTGGAGGAATGATAACTAACAATCAAGCTGATTAACTAGAGTGAGTATAAATACTTCCCGCTGACACGTGTACCATTACTCAGTCAATTTGTCAGAATATAAACGTATATTTCTGTTTAGAATTTTTATTTCAAAACCTTTATTTAGCAATTTTTGGCAATTTTTAGGCAATTTTTAGCAACGTTTGACAATTTTTCCTGTAATACTAATTTCCAAACCACATTTTGATTAATGCAACACTTTGTAGGAAACACTCTAAAAACATGTCTTGCGAACTGGACCAACTGAAAATCAAGCATGAAGAGCTGAGACTGGAAAAAAGAGCCGTTGATCGTCTGACCGAGGACACCCGCACCAAGATTATCGAGGATTCACGAACAGCAGAAGCGGAGATTGAGAAGTTGCAGCTAGATGTGGAAGCTCTGAAGGAGGAGGCAGCTGCTCTCATGACTAAAAATTCTCAGCTGGAATGTACAGTTGTCTCTCTGAAGACGGAACATGAGCAGAAGAAGAAGGCACAGGAAGAAGACTATGACGTTCAGAGACGTAACAAGCAGAAACTCCAGTTCCAGGAGTCTAAGTTGTGCACCAAGAAAGTGAACATTGAGAAGAAATGTGACCCAGTTGAGATCCACAAATTGCAAATCGAGGAGCTCAAGGCTGAAGTGGAGCACAATAAAAACGAAAGGGAGGAGACCCAGAAGATCTACGAAACCGAAATGAACAGACTGGACAACATTAAATCTAAATGTAACTTCCAGGTGAAGACCTGGGAAAATAAGGTCCAGAAAGGAAGAGAGGCGCTTCTAAAGAACGAGGCTAACTGTATCAACACTAGACTGAGCTGCAGGAAGGAGCTCTTCGAGAAGGATCTCCTTCTCAAACGTCTGGTTATTGACACCAAGAGATGCGAGAAAAACATTCCTGAGCTTACAGCTAGCTTGCCTCTGCTGGAGAAAATGATCAAAGAATAGGTGGTTCGTTTGCAGTGATGGGTACGGTGTGGGTGGAAGAAGACTTTAGGGTTGGATGGTACTTAAATATTGTTAGTTGTTGGCTAAAGGCGTAGTTTGAGCATTGCCAGTAGTTTTCATCATTTTACGTTTTTGAAATTTTGGGGGCACAGATCTATTTGGTACAGTGTTAATGTGGTGTTTTGAGGGCCTATTAGTAGTTATTTATTTCTGTTCCTAAATCATTCAATATCAATCAAGTGAACTTAATAATATAATTGAGTATTTGATTGTCAGTGTCAAATTACAAATTGTCCAAAGCTTAATCAAATCAAACTAAATTGAGAAAGCTCCAGACAATGGTTGCTTTATTTATATTTATGCTTCTCCATTGAAATTTAGCTATTTCAAAAGCCCTAACTTAATTCTCTCACGAAACAAAAGCCATAACTTAATTCTCTCACGAAACAAAAGCCCTAACTTAATTCTCTCACGAAACAAAAGCCCTAACTTAATTCTCTCACGAAACAAAAGCCCTAACTTAATTCTCTCACGAAACAAAAGCCCTAACTTAATTCTATCACGAAACAAAAGCCCTAACTTAATTCTCTCACGAAACAAAAGCCCTAACTTAATTCTCTTACAAAATTAACTTAATTAAGCAAAATTTTAAATTTCACTAACCCAGTTTAACTCGATCTATTTCCCCGGAAGGAAGGAGAATAGCTTCCCCAAACTTAGCAATAACCTTCTTGTAGCCAGGACACCCTTGTTCGACCACTGAAAAAAATGAGCTAAAATTATCGTATGGAGAAAACAAATGAAGTTACTATGGTTACTATGCATGGTTACTATGGAGCAAAAACAAATGAAATAAATTGGTTCACGACGTCCTGCCCCAGCTTATCTTAACAACAACCCAAATTATATTTACTTAATCTTGTAACACTAGTGGAGCACAAGGTTCTAAGGCACAAGGTTCTGGGGCACAAGGTTCTGGAGCACAAGGTTCTGGAGCACAAGGTTCTGGAGCACAAGGTTCTGGGGCACAAGGTTCTTGGGCACAAGGTTCTGGAGCACAAGGTTCTGGGGCACAAGGTTCTGGGGCACATGGTTCTGAGGCACAAGGTTCTGGGGCACAAGGTTCTGGGGCACAAGGTTCTGGGGCACAAGGCTCTTGGGTACATGGTTCTGGAGCACAAGGTTCTGGGGCACAAGGTTCTGGGGCACAAGGTTCTGGGGCACAAGGTTCTGAGGCACAAGGTTCTGAGGCACAAAGTTCTGGGGCACAAGGTTCTGGGACACAAAGTTCTGGGGCACAAGGTTCTGGGGCACAAGGTTCTGGGGCACAATGTTCTGGGGCACAAAGTTCTGGGGCACAATGTTCTGGGGCACAAAGTTCTGGAGCACAAGGTTCTGGGGCACAAAGTTCTGGGGCACAAGGTTCTGGGGCACAAGGTTCTGGGGCACAATGTTCTGGGGCACAAAGTTCTGGGGCACAAGGTTCTGGGGCACAAAGTTCTGAGGCACAAAGTTCTGGGGCACAAGGTTATGGGACACAAAGTTCTGGGGCACAAGGTTCTGGGGCACAAAGTTCTGAGGCACAAAGTTCTGGGGCAAAAGGTTCTGGGACACAAGGTTCTGGGGCACAAAGTTCTGGGGCACAAGGTTCTGGGGCACAAGGTTCTGGAGCACAAGGTTCTGGGGCACAAGGTTCTGAGGCACATTGTTCTGGGGCACAAGATTCTGGGGCTAGAAGACGGTTACCCTCAAAGCTCATCTAATTCTTAAGTCTTTACACTTAACACCTAATTTGCCCCAAAAAGACCCACGTGACCTGGACCAACGTGACTTCATCCTGAACTAACCTTGTTTAGCGGCAGCATCACAAGAGAGAACAGCCACTCCGTGTTCCTTGAGAACACTAGCTACGGAAGTTTTTCCGGACGCTATACCCCCTGTCAGACCAACCAACCTCATCCTACATTAATTAAATTTAATACGTTAATTATTAATTAACAAATTTAATCAATACATAAATCAGAAGTAGAGGATTAACAACAGTGATATGAAGATTGAGCAATGAGCATTAGGTTCGTTGAACCACAATTTATCAGAATTTATCGGTATTTAAGTATTAGAAATGCATTTCGGAATTGCGAGAATCAAAAATGTAACAGAAGAAAAATACACCACTGTACCAGACTAATGATTATAATTATAATTATAATTGTAATTAATTAATTAATTAATTCACTAATTATCAATTCTCTGGAATAAATAAAATGTGTTTCTCCATTAAATAGGATACATAAGCTTTCTGAATACAAAAACCTTCACGGAATACCGTCAACAAAATAAATACAAATTGTTCTCAGTATGAAATGTTTTGAGTTGAGCGTCCTCTAAGATAGTTTCTAACTCAAATCTCAACAGTAAGTTCAGCTACATTGCACCCGAGCACGCCCCGGCCCTGCCAAGGACGGGGTTTCAGTGCGATCGTCTTAGGAGTTCCACCTCTGATAAGTTTTACGGGTACAGCTTTGTTAACACTAAGTTTAACCACCTCCGCTACATCTCCAAGATCTGAAAGTGGGGTTTTGAGTACAAGGGAGATTACAGCCGTGAAAGGTTGAGATCTAAATTCACGGCCCTGCTTGAATGGATAAATAAGGTGTAAAATTCAAATTCAGTGATTATTATTAATTGAGAGAGAGATAAAAATAAATAATCGAAGATTTACTAATATGGTAGATATAAACTAAAAAGGTAAAAACGCAAGTATTTACTAAGATACTCACTAGTAAAGCAAATAACAGTTGCGCACTATATAAATATAAGATACTCACTAGTAAAGTTGTCTCTGTGAAGAGATCCTATCTGGCAGATAGTATCCTCGTCCCTAAGTCCACTAGAATGCGCGGGAGAGTTGGGAATCACTCCGTGTACCCGTAGGAAGGGGGGTCTTGTTGGGGGTAATACTCGCTCTCTTGTTTCGGTACCCTCACTCTAGATAGAGGGTGGTTACAGATTATGTTAAACTGTTAGGGTAATGAACATTGACACTGCATTGTTGTTGATGAAAGGGGGGGGGGGGGGGGGGGGGGGGGGTGCGCTACTTACTTCCCGACAATTCACTGAGATTTTCGCGCAGACTTAGGTATTATCATGATAGACGCTAGTTGTGAAAGATGCATAAGATTTGTAATTGGGCAACTCACGTATTTTTTCAAGAGCGGCGAATTCAATTTGTTTCAACTAAGTACCCGTATATGGTTTTGTTTTTGTTCTTTACACAATTGAAGCTGATTTAATTGATTTGAAACGTTTACAAATAGTACAATGTACACATACAATACAGTAATGTTGGGCTGATCAGTTTGTAAAGGCTAATCAGTTTGTACTTTGTAAGGTAAAACATTTTAATTACTTTAATATGTTAAAAGGCTGGCAAGATCTTTTGGTTGGTATCAATCGTGTTTGATAAAAGTTTTCAAATTTGGCTGAGAGAAAAATTTGAGTTTTTATGGCTTGATTCCCGCACTATATAATGACAAAACTATATAATGACAAGCACTTTATAATGACTTATCACTATATAGTCCTGTCATTATAAAGTGCGTTTTGCACACTATATAATGACGGCTGCAAATTTACCTAAAAGGATGTGACCCATGCCTTCAAATGGTAAGGTCGCGTAACATCGAACGTGCCACAGATCATCACTAGCTGATCCGTCATCTCAAATATTTTAAGGCAAGCTGTGATCCAAGTACTCAAGTGGAAACATGAGTACTTGTTGGAGCTCGTTGGTGTTGAATACACTACTGGTAAACGAGGAAAGGACAACGCTCTCGTGGATGGTCAACGCTACACCTTAAACAGAAAGAGGAACGGAACTGACGGAGTCACGAAGACCTACTGGATCTGTGTTGTTCCTGTCTGGCTCGTCTGGTGCTTCATGAACAGACAGTAAAGAACTCTCCGAACCACAACCACGATGAACAAAGAGCAGAGATCCTGGTCCATCGCTCTAAGAAGATGATGAAGGAACGTGCAGCGGCATCGGACACATCAACTAAACGGATCGTTGCTGAAGTTCAGGACTTCCAGTGTTCAAATCCTACCACCTGGAAATTCCTTGAAGCCCTCAAACTAGAGCAAGAACTAACAGACCAGAAGATCACGGAAAGACTGATGAGAAGACCTACACCCCAGAGAGCAGCCAAGTGGATAAGGTACGACTCCCTTCTGGAATCCTTCGTGCAAGTCTACGATAACCAGGAGTACGAAGTCATCGATTATCTCTCTGCTGTTTCTGCTGCACTATGAATTCGACAGGGGGGGGGGGGGCCAAGTGGATATTTGTAGATATTTGTAGATTAATGTAGAGTGGATAATCCACGAAAAAAGTGGATGACATTCTACAAATTTATACATTTATCTCCAAAAATTCAGTCGAATTTCTGGGCACATATTTGAGATTACATTTTTTGTAGATAAATGTAGATATTTGTAGATTATTGTCAATGGATAATTCACGAAAATTCTACAAATTCTACAAATTTATACATTTATCTCCAAAAATTCAGTAGAATTTCTGGGCACATATTTGAGATATACATTTTTTGTAGATAAATGTAGATATTTGTAGATTATTGTAATGGATAATTCACGAAAAAAGTGGATGACATTATCCAAATATCTACAAATATCCACTTGGCCCCCCCCCCTCGACATTTGATTATTGATATTATCGGTTTTACGATATTGGGATTTTATGATATTTCGATTGTACTATATTTCTATTTTACTTAAATAAGATTATTTGGTTTAGTAATATTCTACAAGTAAGGAAAAGTCGATATAAGATAAACTTGTCATTATATAGTGTTGTCATTATATAGTCCGTTTTGCAGACTATATTATGACAAAGATCAGCTGTCATTATAAAGTGCTTGTCATTATATAGTGTTGTCATTATATAGTGTGATTACCGGCTTGATTTTCTCAGTTTTAAGAATTTAGGCGAATTAAGGCGAACCGTTAAAAAAAGCCTGATTCCCAAATTTGTAAAACCTACAAAACAAATTACTCAACTTTAGATATTCATCATTAAAAGATTAACACAAACAAAAATGTCCATAAATGAGCCAATTTCAAATACTGATTAATCTATAGGTGCACCGGATCGTGGTTTCGATACATGCACAAAGCGTTTGTAAGTACACAGTGTTGGAAGACGTAAGATTTAAGAACTAACAGTATGTCCATTGGAAGTGGGGGCTTGACAGGATACGAAAACTCTGTATGCAGTCTTTCTGCAATCTTTTAAGAATTTCACTCTTGCGAAAATAGAGTATAGCTAGAGTATAGCTATACATTGATATTCGTATTAAAGTTTAAGAGCATTCTGTTATCGAAGCATGCCCTTTTAGCTTGTCCAAAAATGTATCTAAATAATAATCATTTAATTGTTCACCATCTTTAGGAAATAATATAACAGAGCAATATACTCTAGCTCGAGACATTGATAAGTTCAGCGAAACTATATCCATAGGATTAATTTTATCGCTCATTTCATGCAATACAATAACAGCTGGCCATTCAGCTGAATAAGCAAATCGTTGAAAGATTACTCTACAACAGTTAAAAATTTCAGAAATTTGAGGGAAATTAGAAATAGCACAAACATCCGCATCCGGCAAATTCAATATTCCATCGTGACTAACTTTTTTCAGTTCTTTGTATAAACAACTAATAATCGAATCTAGGTTGAAATTTCTTAAAACAAAGAAGGAAGTCCTTGGTCCATGAATGAATGTCCTTTGACTTGAGCTGGAATATCATGTATCCCGGTTGGACATGGTGCACCTTCAGTGCAACGATTATTTCTCAAAATGGATAATACATTCGACAAATCGCACGTATTTCTTAAATTCGATGGCAAATGACATATTAACCATCCATCAAAAAGTGCAGATTCAACTAAAAAACGAATTCCACGCATGTCATATTTCTCCCCGTCCATGTATGGGAGGCTTTGCAAGAAATCTACGGCCAACCATACGTATTTACAACATGCAGATAACATAACCACATCATACATTAGGGCTACAAGAAAATTGTCTTTAAAATGCGCAACCAAAATACTCCTAATATCGTTGCCCGGACCACCTGAAGCTGATGATGGTCTAACAAAGTCATTATAGATACACTGGAAATCGTCTATAAAAACATTATATTCATCCTCCAGATTACTGATTATGGTTATGATCGACTGTAATGTAGTATCTAAAATCATTTCACAATGCATTCCTTGCACCAAAATAACCTTAACTTCACTATCAACGTTAGATATAATATCAATAAGCTCAGATACGTTTAGACAGTTTATCCTACCATGTTTTATCATGTTTATTGTATGAAAACGTATTTGCGCTTTTTCAAAAGTTTTCTCATAAATGGTTGGTAACCGTAATCGTTGTATAAAAGAAAAAAATATCACTTTATTGTTGTCACTTGACTTGGCTAGTTGTATAGCTTTAGCAATCAATACAACACTTTTACCTGCCCCCGCAGGCCCTTCAATAAGTACACAATTTTCCTCAGAAGTATATAAATCATGTTGCTGCTTTGTCAAATTGTCCACCCCTAGGCACTCTCTGATGATATCATCTGGTGCTGATACAACATTAGGATTATTGTTCCTGTATACAAACTTCCCACTACGTAACTTCTCGTCGATATCTAGTATGCACCTTCCTAAGCTGCACTTAGATTGATCACAGTTATCTTTCTCGGTGCACCAAATAGCGAGGAGCATGTTCCGAATTTTCTCATGTTTAGAGCGAAATCCTGCATACATATGTTCATCCAATACGAAATCTTTCACATTCTTCTCTTTCACATTCTTTTCCCACCAAGTGCCGAAATTGTTTAAATCGTCCTTGAAGATTATGGTGTCAATCTCGTTAGGCTTCAAT